ATCTTCATGCAGATGTGTGCCCCCCACATAAACAAGCATACACATGCATTCATAACACACACACACACACACACACACAACACACACACACAAGTATAGAAAAAAGGCAGCTAATGTGTATGTTCTTGTTGGCTTGGTTGTCTTGGTCTCATTTGTCCTCACTGTGATGAAATATCAGGACAACTGAAAGGAAGAAGGAGTTATTGTGGCTCATATTTCAATGGACACTTGTTCATCTTGTTGGAGAAGGCATGGTGGTGGGAGTGGCTTCTGGTTGTCTCAGAAGGCATATGAGATCATATGCTTCCATCCTGCCCAATCAAGAAGCAGGGAGTTCATGACATGGGTTCATAAGCCCTGCCCCTATAACCTTATGTCTGTGACACAGACCCCTTATCTAAAAGGTTCCACAACCTCTCAAAACAGCACCAGCAGCAAAGGATCAACTGCTCAAACATATGAGCCTGCAGGAGACATTTCACATTCACACAATGATAAGAAGCAGTGAAAGGACTTCTGGCAGCCTGGGTGAAATCATTCCTCCTCTGAAAACAGTCATTTCCTCCAGAGCAATGTGGCTTTTTGTTGGAGTTGGGTCCAAACCCCTGAAAAGAACTCCAATCTTGCTTACAATAGGCACACAGTGCCCAAATGAGAGCCAATTTCATAGAGTGCTGACTGCTTCAGTATTTAAACTATATACCTTTCTATGTTTATGATTTATTGGTATTAAGTCTATTACTTAGAGACTGCTAGATCAAATCTTACTGCCTAACAAACAACTGAGGTCTCAAAATTCTAGAAAACAGTTGTTTTTTCCTGTATTAGTGTGGGAAATTAGCTCTAGTGACTATGTGACTATGTCAGACAAACCCTGAGGTCTCAGGGACTGAGAACATTGAGAGTTTATTTAATTCTGTGTAGCTTACGATATCTTTTTGAACCTTATATCCATGTTTTCTGAAACATGGTAATTTCAGGGTCACTTTCCCACAAGAAAAGAGACAGGAACAAAAAAGTAGCCATCAGGGGCTGGAGAGATGGCTCAGCAGTTAAGAACACTCGTTCTTGCAGAAGACCCAGGTTCGAATCCCAGCACCCACATGGCAGCTAACAAGTGTCCATAACTCCAGATCTGACAGCCTCTTCTGTCCTCCATGAGCATTGCACGACACGGGTGCACTTACATGCAGGCATAACACTCACACACATAAAATAAAAATAAAAAATAAAATATTTTTAAAAAAGAGTAACCATCAATTGCTTCTCAAAGTGATTTACCTTTTAGTATTCTGGCCAATACTAGTAACACAGCTACAACACAGCAAGGGACTCTGGGAATTTTAGACCACTTGGATATTTGTTTAATGTGTTGTCAACTACATGATACTATTATAGCTCTTTACAAGTAGTTCACAGACTTGATTTCTCAGACCCTTTGATTATTTTATTTGCAGTTTTTATTATAACATAAAATTCCAAATAATCTATTCTTTCAAAGTCTCTCATCTCTTCATACTGTAACGATATGTATCTCAGCATAGTTTTTACCCAAGAATCATCCCCTTATGAAATCTAGGGACTAATGGATGAGTTAAATGGGAAATTAGAGTAATGCAGCACCCGAAGAGTGTAATATGAGGCAAATGGGATTACAGCTACACATAGTAGGGATACTCAACCGGAATCCTTCTTGAATGAAGAGATATCTAATCTGTGATCTTTAGAGGTTAATTGGAGTAGGAAGAGAAATGGGGCTCGGTGTATGAAGCCAGAGGACAAGTCATGCCTGAAGCCAATGGTCCAAATACAAGTATGAGCATGATTCATTCAAAGAATTGCCAGACCATCTTTCTACACAGGATATAACATGAAGGGGCATTGGACAGGGCCGAGCTGAAATGTAAACTATGACTAGATGCTTCAGAGAGCTGCGAAATACTCCTACCATTTTGACTTTAAGGAGAGTGGGATTCATTAAATTTTTTGAGCAGGAAGACGAAAGGACTTCATTGTGGAGAGACCAGTTTCAGGCTAGAATAGAATAGGGTGTACTGGAAATCAGAAAGATGAGTTAGGTGATGGCCCTTAATCACACTGATGGGAACACACAGTATTCAGTATGGGAGAAAAGAACAAAAATAAGAAAGAGTTTAGGTGATGGTTTTCAAGGAATTCAACCTGCTTCATACAGAACTCATGATCACCATGGTTTCTGACTCAAGAGCTTTATACAACTAAGTGTTTCCAGTTCACTCGTGTAAACTGTCAAACCTCCAGTTTCGCTTTCAATAGGACACCTAGATAAACATGTATTTCTTTATCAACTAAATTTCCAGCTCATTGGGGAATCACATTTTATATATAATTTTATTTCTGGTTGCAGTTTTAAGTATTTAATAAATGCTTTAATTAATGATAATTTAAAACTCTAGAAGAGCACAACATGCAAAATGTAACAAATTTGAAGATAGACTTTGTGGAACAGACCTGTAATCCCAGGACTCAGGAGGCTGGGGCAGGAGGACCGAAAGTCCTTTTTATTGAGATTTATATTTATTTTTAATTGTGTGGAGTGTAGGTACAGCTGTGTGCAGCCTGACGTGTGCTGGGAACCAAGAGTTGAGAGCTCTTTAACTCCCTGGCTATCTGTCCAGCCTCAGGATTGACAATTCTGTCCAGTTTGGGCCACATAGTGTGAGACACTGTCTCCAAAACCACAATACCATACACACACACACACACACACACACACACACACACACAAACAACAATAAATTTGAAATGATTATTATCATAAGAACATTTTATTATCTTAAGAAAAGGTACTGTCTCTCACATTATCCTGGATTCCTTGATCTTCTAAAGTTTCTGAAATACATTTAGTTTTACTTATCACTAGGAAGAAAAGCAACCAAATTCTATTCTAAGATAATATAGGAGCCTCAAGAAAATTAGCATGTGACTGAGGAATCTCTTTAAGTTACAAATCTGTCAAGAAAATTATTAAAAAATACTAAGTTTGGGGTTGGAGAGATGATTCAGCAATTAAGAACATGGGCTGTTCTTGCAGAAGACCCGGGTTCAAATCCCAGCACCCATATGGTGGCTAACAACTGTTCATAACTCCAGTTCCAGGGGATCTAACACCCTCTTATGTCATCCACGGGCACTGCATGGCATGGGTGCACTTGTACACATGCAGGCATACCCTCATACACAAAATAAAAATAAATAAATCAAAGAGATTATCTACTTGTCAGTTGAGGGACATTTGGCTGCTTCCATCTCTTAGCTATTGTGAAATGAGCAATAACAAACATGGATGTACAAGTGTCTCTGCAATAGGATAAGTTCTTTGGGTATATGCCAAGGAGTGGTATAACTGGGTCAAATGGTAGGTTCATTTGTAGTTTTGAGGGTTCTCCACACTGCTTTCCATGGGGGTTGAACAAGTTTGCAATAACACCAGCAATGGATGAGCGTTCCCCTTTCCCCACATCCTCTCCAACATTTGATGTCATTTGTTCTCTTGATCTTAGCCAGTCTGACTGGGGTAAGATGAAATTTTATTTTTATTTTGCATTTCCCTAATTACTTGTGATGTTGACCACCTTTTAAGATGCTTCTTAGCCATGTTTATTTCCTCTTTTGAGAACTCTCTGTTCAGCTCCTTAGCCCATCTTTTAAATGGGTTACTTCCTTTCTTGATTTTTGTTTTTTGAGTTCGTTATATATTCTAGATGTTAAACCTCGGTCAGATGTGTCACTGGTGAAGATTTTCTCCCATTCTGTTGGTTTTCTCTTCACTTCCTTGGTTGCTTCTTTTGATGTACAGAAGCTTTTTAGTTTAATGAGGTCCCATTTGTTGATTCTTGACCTTGTTTCCTGAGCAATTGATGTCTGGTTTAGAAAATCCTTTCCTACACCTATATCTTGTAGGGTTTTCCCAATGTTTTCATCTAATAGTTTCAGAGTTTCAGGCTTCACATTGAGGTCTTCAATCCATTTGGAGTTAACTTTTGTGCAAGGTGAAAGATAGAGGTTTAGTTTCATTCTTTTTCAGGTGGAAATCCAGTTTTGCTAGCACCATTTGCTGAACATGCTGTCTTTCCTCCAGGGAATGTTCTTGGCCCCTTTGTCAAATATCAGGTGGCTGAAATTGCATGTACTCATATTTGGGTCTTCAATTTTGTTGCATTGATCTATGTGTTTATTTTTGTGCCAGTACCATGTTGTTTTCATGACTATAGCTCTGTAATATAGCTTAAAATCTGGTATAGTAGCCAGGCATGGTGGTGCACACCTTTAATCTCAGCACTCGGGAGGCAGAGGCAAGTGGATCTTTGTGAGTTCAAAGCCGCCCTGGTCTACATAGTGAGTTCCAGGACAGCTGGGGTTACAGGGAGACCTTGTCTCAAAAAGACCAAGAAAAAAAATCTGGTATAGTAATTCCCCCAACATTGTTCTTAGTGCTCAGGGTTGCTTTGGTTGTCTGAGACCTTTTATACTTCCATATGAATCTTAGGATGTTTTTTTTCCAATTCTGTGAAGAATATCATAGGGATTTTGATTGGCATTGCATTGAATCTATAAATGGCTTTTGGTAGAATCATCATTTTCAGAATATTAATTCTTCCAGTCCATGAGCATGGGAGGTCATTCCATCTTCTGGTGTTGTGCTGAATCTCTTTCTTTAAAGATTTTAATTTTCATAGTAGAGGCCTTTAATGTCTTTGTTCAGGTTTATTCTGAGATTTTTTTTTTGAGGCTATTGTGAAAGGGAGTGTTTCCATGTACTCTTTTTCCAATAGGTTGTTATTGGTATATAGAAAGGCTACAGACTTTTGTCAATTAACTTTGTAACCTGCAACTTTACTGACAGTGTTAATCATTTCTAGGAGTTTCCTGGTGGAATTTTTGGCATCTCTTAGATATAATATCATATCATCTGCAAAATCTCCTTTAATTTCCTTCTCTTGTCTTATTGCTCTTGCGAGAGTTTCAAGCACCATGTTAAAAAGGAGTGGAGATAGTGGACAGCCTTGTCTGGTTCCTGATTTCAATGGGAATATTTCCAGTTTTTCTCCATTTAGAATGATGTTGGCTGTGGGTTTGTTGTATACAGCTTTAATTATGTTGAGGTATGTTCCTTCTGGCCCAGTTCCCTCTAGACTTTAAAAATAAATGCGTGTTGAATTTTGTCAAAGGCCTTCTCTGCATCTATTTAGATGACCATGTGGTTCTTGTCTTTGAGTCCATTTATATTATTTATGACATTTATTGACTTCGTATATTGAACCATCCCTGCATCTCTGGAATAAAGCCTACTTGATTGTGGTGGATGATCTTTTTGATGTATGTCTGTATGCGGTTTGCTAGTATCTTGTTGAGAATTTTTGCATCTATGTTTATTAAGGATATGGATCTATAGTTTTCTTTCTGGTTTTATCTTTACCTGGTTTTGGTATTAGAGTGATGCTGGCTTCATAGGAGGAATTTGGAAGTTCTCCCTCCATTTCTATCTTTTTGAATAAATTAGTTTATCTTCTTAAGGTGAAATAAAGTACGCATTTCTAAAGTAACTGATGCACATTTTTCATAGGAAACTGTACATAGTTCAGTCTTTCAAAATATATAATTTTATTCTAAAAACACCTAGCAATTGTACATATTTATGGGGTATGGTATTTCAATATCTCTCTACAATGTGTAATGATTAGGTCAAGGTAATTGTTATGCTGTCACCTCAAATATTTGTTACTTCTTTGTATTGGGAAGGCTTCTTCAAGTCTTCAAGGATAACATTTTGTGACATGAGTAGGGAAAGAGACCAAACACTTTTCTGATCGCCAGACTGCAAAGGGTCAGTGTCAACTAAAGAAGAAACAATGTTGCTCTCAATTTTTCTACAAGTGCAGAGCTTCCTTGGTTGGAACTGAAACATCAACATTGCTGTATCTCTGTAAGAGAACATCTGTTAATATGGTGGCACATACGTGTGTCATGGACATGCAGCCACTTTTGCCCACATATCTGCAGCTGAGTTACATTAGCCATTTGCCCTAAAAGGAGCTGTGTTGTGCTTGCATAGTTAAAACTCATCACTCAGTTTTGGCAAAGAAATGAAAGCCTCAGTGGGAGCTCAGCACTGCCACTGAGTTGAGATTCTTGTTAAATTAAGATTATCCAACTCCGCTGAGGAGGAAAAACCATTTACATATTCACACCCTGAGATTTTAATTTTCCAGACAGGCCTCAATAAGAAGGACAATCTTTATACCAGAAAACACAACTCATTGCAATCTTCTTTCCACTGAAATCATATAGTAAATGGTAGCGAACAATGTGGCCACTGATATTCTTAAGAGGCTTCAAATTCCAAAGTGTTTCTTGTTGGAAATATTTAGCTTTTCGAAGACCAGGATTTTAATAGTAATGGGTTTTGAAAGAATGTGTTCAGTAAATACTCCTGTGGTGAAAGTATAAATGAATAATATTGTATATTATATATACTAGATAGTTCTTATATGAAATATTAACCTTATGTGCAAAGATTTTGTGTATGAGATGCACAAAAATTATAAAAACTTATAAAAAAGAAAATCACAAAAATTCAATTAAAAATGAAAAGGAGAAAAGAAATGAGAAAAAAGAAATATTAAGATTTTGATGCTAAAATTCCAGAAAGCAGTGCTGTTTTATAATAAAGTACAAGATTCAATAATACCAAATGTGGTATAAAACATATATTTTGTATAAAAAATGTTTAGAAAGACTAAATTTCTCATTTACTCATTTTAATGAAATGTGTTCAAAGAACACGTTGCTCCCATTTTTATTATTGAATTATATTTGTCTATAAAATGCTAATTCAAAATGTTTACTAACACAAAATACTTCTTCATTTGGTGTTTTGAGGAAATGTGTTCAAGGAAATGTTTATTCCTTTTGCTGTGACTAAGTTGCAGTTGGTTGAGAAACTAGTGATTGTTATCATTATCCTAATTTGAAGCATATTTTCAGGATTTCCATAGATTTTTAATGATCATAAACATACTTTGTATAGTAGATGCTCCTTTGATCTTCACAGGTTAAGAGCTTGTGTCGCAATATTTACTCTTAGGGATTTGCAACAAGAATGTGTTATTTGTACTTTCAGGGCCTTATTAGAGAAAACTCTCAATTCTACAGTAAAACTGAGCATTGAAAATTCTGCCTGTCTGTGTCTTCATACCAATTCCTCTGTATTGATGACTTAGAAGTTCATTGGCATTGACTTTGTACTTTCTTTTAAAAGGAAAAAAAACAACTTTGTACACTACTACAAAAATGAGTCTTCATAGAAAAAAAGGATAATCATCAAGATTATTCAAAAACACAAGGATATGCATGAGATATAAGTGTTAATAGGGTAGGTTTTATATGAGAACATATACACAAATAGACAAAGATTACAAATTAGCATGCAACATATCCTAATAGTTAATTAAGACTTAGGGTTTATGTTACTATTTTTCCATTTACAATATTATTTAAAAAACTAAGTTTCAGGGGACTACAGAGCATCTCTCAAAATGTCCTGTAACCATGATGAGCCATCTGTCCTCTTGTTCAGGGAGGCTATGGAGGCCCCAGAAGATGGACTTGAACCAGTGTCCAGTCTACAAAGAGGACTCAACACAGAACATTTCCTCCATGCTTCCAAGTGAAACTAGCCACAGTAAAGCAGGACCTTCGACTTATCTTCACATAGATGGAACTGGTAAAAGAAAGGAGCCAGGGACTCCTCCCAAGCCCATGTGACCCCTGGGGAACAGATCCTCAAACGGCCTTAAGAGTAAAAATGTTTATTTGGCCCAACTGTATGTAAATGTGTGTATAGGGTCTTAAATACCTAAGAGGAAAGTATAATCAAAGATTAAAGTCATCAGTATATTTAAGAGTTCAAGAGCTCACGCATCCCAGACATTAGACTTAAGTTCTTATAAGATGCTATTTAGACAGTTATCTCTCATTGATGATTTTGTTCCTAATAAGACAATGCAACTCAGATGCAAGACTTCAAATCTTGATCTGCAATACCCTAGTGCCTGCCTACAGCTGAGGGAGACAACCCACTATTGTCCTAGCCTAAAAATTAAATGATGACTAAATTTGTTTTCTCTCCCTATCTAGAGGCCATTTAAGAGGGAACTGATTCTAGCAACTCCAACAGCTATCAAAATGCTTGACAACAAAGCCTGAGTTCAATCATCAGTCCAGCCTTGGCAGGCAAAAGGAAAATGAGGAATCCAATAGATGGATGCTTCTGGAAGCCCTCATCAAAAAATTCCAATAGACTTTAATTTGGACATTTGAAATTTGCCCTCTTCTGATTTTTTCTGGTTCCCTGTCTAGAGCCTGTAATACTAACTACTCTTGCCTTTACTTCTCCTTCACATATCCTAGGCATCAGTGAAGGGCCTTCTTTTCTCCCTATAGTTAAGAGTTATGCAATTTTGGAGTCTTTTAGATAGACCCACTGAAAAGGGTACCCCAATTGCCTCACCCTGTGGCCCTGTTCAGCATGGAAGAAGCCAGAGTGGTCTGCATCCTGATTCCCTACCGGCAATTTGGGTAACCCCTTCAGAGGGTGGTGTGATAAGAATAGGAGGTAGAAATTGGCTAGGTGGTTAGGGTAAAAATACCCCAAAGAAAAGCAGCCAGTTTCTTTCTTGGTAAAAGTCAAAATGTCCTTGGGCCTTTTAACAACGTACTCTGTCCCAAAGGCCAAAAATGTTAAAAGTATTTGGGAGCTCTTATCCCTAATAGATTTTAGGGTTATCTCTTCAGAAGGGGGATTGTTAGGGTATCAATAAGCCCCATAAATTGAACTTGTCCAGACTATAAAAAAAATGTCTAGTCTATTTGTTGGAGGACCTACTTTTCCAGTCTCACTGGTCAATTACCTGGTGATAGAACCACTTCTAGGAAGGCAGGTTCACCTTAAGTTATGCTAAATGAATGGATGGAATACCTGGTGTGTTAATAAGGTAGTGAATATTTCCTGTCTGGAATTAGCTCAGATCCCTGCGGAACTTCCAGACCAGCTACAGCCATGTAGGTCTCCGTAAGTCTGTCTGTTTTCCTGAACTCTTCAGGAAAGCTTAATTTCTCTTTTTTTCTTCATGCCTTTCTTAATAAACATGCCTTCTTTAAGGCTTTGTGCTTCCCCAGCGTCTTGTGTTTCTTCCTTTTTCTCTAAAGCTTCCTTCTCCCAGCTTTGTGGCTGCAAGTCAGCCACGTGTCTGACCTCCATGCAGGCTCTAAACCTGCATTGCTTCATGATTTTCTTTCCTTCTTCCCACCATTCACCTCCTCAAGGCAGCTGCCAAGATTACCAGCTTGTCTGCCCTGAAGATTTTTCTTTAAGATTCTCATAAAGTTGTAAAAGCTTCTGTTGGGGTCCATTCTGAAGTTCTTTTATGAATGAGACTAAGAACCCTCTAGGGGACCCTCTTTCTCCCAGTTTCACTTCTAGTGCTTTTAGCTCTTAAGAAGCTACTGAAATCCCACTTCCATAGTAGATCAATTTACATTATAAACTATTCTGAGAACCCCAGAGAATATTGGGGGTTAATTTTAATCCCATACTTTCTCTTCTCTCTCTCTCTCTCTCTCTCTCTCTCTCTCTCTCTCTCTCTCTCTCTCCTCTCTCTCTCATCATTTTGAGACAGGGTCTTCTTGTAACCCCACATGGCCTGGAATTGCTATGGAGACCACGCTGGCCTCAATCTCACAGAGATCTTCCTGCCTCTGCCTCCTGAGTGCTGGGATTAAAGGCTGTGCCACCATACTACGCCCAGTCTTCAGCTTATAATTTTAATATTAATAACATATTTCTAGCCTATGACAAATGGAGGTTTTTAATAAATTCTATTGTGAAATATTAAAAAAAAACTTTTCCAGCATTGCCTTTTTCTTTTTAAATGATACAGCAGTACCGTCTATTTAAAAAAAATTTATTATTTTTTACTTTTTATTATTTGTATGAGTGTGTTGCCTGCATGTATGTAAGTGCACCTGTGTTGTGCAATGCCCAGGAAGGACAGAAGAGGGTTTCACATCCCCGGAAACTGGATTTATGGATGATTGCCAGACACCATGTGGGTTCTAAGAACTGAACTTGGGTCTTCTGCAAGATCAGCCAGTGTTCTTGCTGAGCCATCTCTCCAGCACCAGTCCAGTCTATTTGTATTTGGACTTTATCACACAAAAAGTTTGTCCTGAGATTGTGAGCAGTCAAGGATTTCTTTGCAAAAACAGCTGTGGTGCTTGTGGTGGTGCTGTGATGTTTTGCTTCTAATACAGACTTTCTGTTCATACTGGCTCTGTTCACTTACTCAAAAGTAAATATTCTTCACTCATGTCATGACTAAACTATTAATTTCATTACAATGTTAAATCTTATATTTACAAACAAAAATGAAACTATGAATAATAGGTATTCGGGCACAGTATAAGACAGAAAGACTTCAAAGTAATTATTAATAAGAGGAAAAAAATGAGATATTCTTATCTACCATGAACACAAATGAACACTGAACGATACTGGGAATTACTTTTTAAAGTTCTTCTTGAACCCATATTTCCATTTTAAACTTCCATTTTAAAATATCATCAGTTGTATATATGATCAGTTTGCAATGTATGTATAAATTATGGTTTTTTGCTAATAACACTCATGTCCCGAGGTGTTCAGTAAAGCCCTAATTTCTGATTTTAATAGAGAAAAGATTAATAATTGATAACATTATTTCATGAGTGAAATTTCTTCCTCTTCAAATCTTATTTTCCTAAAAATATGAAATACTTATTAATGAGAAGCATATGTGTTTTATATATGAAATTACCCTGCTATTTTAAGCTTCCTTATCCAGATGTAGACCTTTACATTTAAGGAATAGCATAGTCAAGAAAAATTTGGAAACATTTATCTATGAAAAATAGGAAATTGTTACCTTGAATCCACACAACCAAGTAACAGCATATATTAAAATAAAATGTCTGTCCATGATCAAATAAGGTATATTATAGGCAGCTTAAAAAGGAACAGAGAGAAAAGGCAACTGAATTTGATGTGTAAATGCACAACCCAGAGCCACCAGGTCCTGCAAAGAGGAGCTCATTTATGAAACACACACATATACACACACCACAGTCAGTTAGAAGGAAATGCTGACATTATTAAATGCACAAGGGTGCCCAATCAACTTATGTAATACTAAGCATCAAAACAACACTGGCTCATAAAAGTCTTAGAAAGAAAGAGAATTATGGTTCTGGAATGAGCAGTCAATAATATGATAACGATAAAAAGCCCGTTTGGAATTCAGAGATCAAAAAGGAGCTGTAGTCTTTGCAGCCCATTAGGAATTAGACGGAAACCACTTCTTTTTTATGACCGTATTCAACTGTGTGCTTTAGATCTTCCCAATGGAAAGCCTAATGAGCCCTATGGAGGCCACACTACCTGCCAAGAAAAGAATCCATCCTCCAGAAGCCCCAGTGACAACATTCCTCAATGCCTAGGGAAAAAAAAAAAAAAATTGTTGTCATTCAAAAGGCTTTTTTTTTTCAATCCTCACTGGCAGCCCTGATGATCTAATGAGTGAGAAATTGAAGTACCTGAAAGAATCATCATCTCCAAATTTAGAAAAAGAAAAAATTATAATAAAAGGGCTGTAAATCAGAAACCGACTATTGTCAAAAATGACCTTCATGAAGCATCAAACAATGCCTGTTGTGGCTTGTCAAGTAAGCCCAGCACGAAAGCCCAAGAGCTAGGAAAGGGGCACCGAGCTTTGATTCAGTGCCCAGCTAATGTGCAATCTGTCCTTAAAATTCTTATTGCTGTTTCATTTAGAAGATGTGTTTACAACGAAATCCCTAATCCCTTGAGTGGAAAAAAAAAAACAAAACAAGAGTGTTATTATCTGCTGTATCTACAAAGGAAAGTAAATGCTTCCTTCTTTATTTTTTCCCTTTTCTTCATTAGCTATTCTTTTATATTACATTTATTTTTTATTTATGTATTTACTTATGTATGTATATATTTGAGTGTGTGTGTGTGTGTGTTGTCTGCATCTGTGTGTGTATATGTCTGCGCAGGTGAGTATAATAGCATGTATTGGTGGTTCCAAGGACACTTAGGGTAGTTGGGTCTCTCCTTCTATCATGTGGGTCCCAGGGATCAACCTCGGTACAAATCTTGGCAGCAAGTACTGACTTGCTGAGCCATCTTGCTGACCCTTATGTCTTCTTTTTCATCAAAAATGAATGCCATTTCTACCTTTACAGCATAAAAAATTTAAAGTACCCTCAAGAACATTCAGAATCAACATTTATGACCTTCAAAAAAGTTGTTTCTTAGTGGATTGTTAGAAATCAAATGAGCATACACTCATTAGCCAGGCATTGTATCTGTTCTAGAAGAACTTTTATTGCAATTATTATACAGACAAGTACAAGATGCAAAGATTTATTTTATTTAAAATTGTGTGTATGCATGTATGGGTAAGTGAATGTGCCTGTGGATCCAGAAGAGGGCATCCTGGAGTTGGAGTTATCAGAAACTGTGCACTGCTTGACATGGGTGCTGGGAACTTAGTGTAGGTCCTGTGCAAGAGCAGT